GCAGGTTGGTAGGTAGGTAGGTAGGTACCCACCCAGACGGATAGGATACTCCGGTACGGTACATGCATGTATGTATGTATGAATGCCTATCTATCTGACCGGATCGGATCACATCTTCTTCTTATCTTGCTTGTTGCGTTCGCCCGTCTGTGTGTGTGGCTTCACATAGGCGCTGAAGCTGAGGAATCTGACTCAAGAGTTCGCCATGGATAGACACATGGCCATATTGGGTAGGTATGCAGTAGGGTGGAGTGGAGAAGCAGCATACCACTCACTCCCACAGACACACACACACACACACACATCGCATCAGTCGTCGCCTCTGTGGCCATCCGTGTGTCTATGTGTGGGTGCGCGGCGCCTGCCTGGCTGCCTGGCTGGGGGCCTGGGTGTGTGTCGTCAGGTTTCCGTGAGCACGTCTTCACTGACAATGTGTCGGCCATCAGCCAGTACATGGCCATGCAAGAGACATGCTTCACCACCATGGCACAAAGGGTAGGCTTGCACGGACACAGCCGGCATGGCATGCAATGCAACCGTGGGTGGGGGGCTGGGTGACATCAATCAGCATCTGGATGCTCCCTTGCGTGTGCGGCTTCACTACGGCCACCCCGACATATTCTGCAGAGCTTTCGTCGCCACATGTGGCTCCTGCAGCAAGGTAGGTGGGTAGGTGAGAAAAGCACAGGAGCAGAGGCCGGCCACGGTAGGTACCTGCCATGCCAACCAGCCATGCGTGTCGGCACACATGGAGTGAATTGACGACTGCATTACATTGCATTGCATTGCATTGCGGTGCGTTGCATGTCTGTCGGCAACGCAGGCGTCTTTGGCCATTCATGTGAGTGAGGACATTTTTGCTGGCTACAATGCTATGAGCCGGGGGCTCACTGTCAAACACGTCGACTACTGTCAGGTTGGTTAGCACCACAAAGAACGCCTCTCTACCCACCCAATCACCTGTCTGTCTGTCTGTCTGTCTATCTGTCTGTCTGTCTGTGTGTGTCTGTGTGTGTGGGGCTGACTCTACCTACCTACCTACCTACCTATTGTTTTCATTGATAATTATCTATGTAAGGTGGGTAAGGGTCGTGACAACGGTTTGGCGCAGGTGTTCACGTTTGAGAGGAAGATAGCCCAGGGCAACGGGGAGCAGGTGCTCACCAGGGACGTACGCAGGCTCGCTGATACACTCGACCCTATCAAACTTTGCTCAATGTATGTAACCACGCACACACACGCAGGGACGGGGCCACACACACCAGAGACAGACAGACAGACAGACACTCGACCAAGAAAATACACAACACAACCGCACACAAAGATGGAAGGGGACAGCACCTCACTAATTCAGCTCATGCCTGTCTGTCTGTCCGTCTGTCTGTCTGTCTCCGTGCTGTGCTTGTGTGGCCGCATATATTCTGTCTGTCTGTCTGTCAGCTATCACAGCGGCCCGGGTTTCTTCATCAACGTACGTACGTACGTACGTATGTTTGTTTGTGTGTATGGCCGGCCTCATTTGCACATTGCATCTTCACCTCACCCGACCGCCTGGCCGGTTGGCTGATGTATTGTTGTGTGCCACCCTTGCTTGCTGCATTGATTCATTGTAGGGCGTGCTGTCGCTGTGCGGTGTGTTCATGGCTCTGTACGGGAAGCTGTTCCTCTCGGTGGTCATTCTCTACTACACGGCGGCCGATGCCGATGGGGAGGACGGCGACGCGGCCCCATTCGCCACCATCGGAGGGGCGCACCACACCAGAATGCAACACAAAGCATTCGAAACAACTTCCATGTACGTATTGACGGACGGACGGACGTGCGTTACGTAGCCTACCCACCCATGGCCACCCCACCCCACCCACGCAAGACAGGCCAGGCACGGCACGGCACGGCACCAACAATAAAGAAATGTCTGTCTGTCTGTCTCTTTGCTGTCTGTCTGTATCGTATCTCTCGATCCTCACTCAGTATGATGGGCTTCGAATACCCGTCAGTGAAAAGCCACATAGATAGACAGATAGATGTGCATTACATACATAAAGCACAGACAGACAGGACTAGAGAGCCGGCCGCCCTGCTAACCCTTGTCTGTATTACTGTCTGTGTGTGTGTGTGTGTGTTGGTCAGCTACTTGTACATCTTGCCCTTATTCTTCATGATCGCTGTCGAACGAGGCCTCGGTCGGTGAGACACACAGACGGACAGCGGCAGACAGACAGACAGTCACGGACACTTCTGCTGCACTCCATCGACCAGTCAGTCATTCAGGCTCGTGTCTGTATTGCGGATGTAGGCAAGGCGTGTGAGGCATTGGTATGGTTGCCGCTCAAAATGGCCCCGTTGTATTATGCATGGTCACTCGGTGCGCTACACACACACACACACACACAGACCCGCAGACCCACTTATGTATTGTGTGGGTCTGTTTGCCTACCTCTCCTTACTTACTCCACCCACCCACCGTTCCTGCCTTTCTGCCTGCGTTGGTCCTTGCTCCAGGCACCAAGGCATCCTACCTCGACAGCGCTCTCCTATTCGGGGGGGCAAGGTGATACATAGATGGTCCAATTATCTGACGGGCGGACACGTGCCTGTCTCTTTGTGTGTGTGTGTGTGTGTGTGTGTTGCAGGTACGTGGCGACGGGCCGAGGCTTCGCCATCGAGCATGAGGGGTAGGGTGGGTGGGAAGTCACACAGACAGACGACATATGGGCGAGGGAGGGAGGGAGGGAGGGAACACCTGTAGAGCCAGACCCTCATGCAGTGAGTGGAGAGCAGTGTACCTGTCTGTCTGTCTGTCCGCTGACGATCGATACATACCTGCACCCATCCATCCATTTACCTACCGATGCTTGGCTTGTCTTTTTGGGTTGTGCGTGTGTTCTTTTTGGGTTGTGCGTGTGTCAAGTGATTAATTGCATTGAATGTGTGTCCGTCCCTCCATCCCCCGCACCCTGCCTGCAGGTTCACGGGTTTGTGGCGGCTGTATTTCCCCAGCCATTTCGAGCCAGCACTGGAGCTGTCCTTCCTGGCCATCTTCTACTATGTACTGGCCCGGCCATCGCTCGCCATGTATCTGCGGGAGACCTGGTCCATACACCTACTCTCTCTCAGCTTCCTCTACACACGTACGGAACCTACGACCTACATCAACCATACACACACACACAGACGGACAGACAGACAGACAGACAGAGGTGAGGGAGGAGTCCAGCTGGCCGCACGTCACTCGCGCGCATGGATGGATTGCTGGTTGGTTGGTTGATGCAGCTTTCATCTTCAATCCCCTGGGGTTTGACTACACACGACTCAAGGCCGACTTTAAAGAGGTCAGCCAGGGAAGCAGGCTGCAGGAAGGCCAGCTAGGGGACGCCAGTAGACTCATGAACGGGCGACAATTAAAGTCCCTCTGAGCCTCCATGTGTCTCTCTCCATGTGTGTGTGTGTGTGGCTGTACGTTGGTTGCCACTCACTAGTGGCAGGATTGGATGCATTGCAGCGACCCTTTCGACAGCCGGAGGTCGTGGTACGCATGGTGGCGTGTCACGCAGCATCCTAAGACCTTCGCATCCACTGTCAACCGCCTCATTATCCTCATACGCCTCGCGCGATTTGCTCTCTGGATCGGTGTCATCACTGTCGTCATGAGGTACGTACGTACGTATGTTAACATACGTATGTTAACATACGTACTACGTCAGCCGTGGATAGGATAGAGAGATACACACATCATGGACGGACGGACGGACGGATGGAGGCACGGATGGGGTCGGGCAGCAAGCAAGGGAGAGAGAGAGGCAGGCAGGCAGGCAGGCAGGGAGGGAGGGGGAGGGACACACACGAGGTCTGATCGAGCGACTGATAATTGGGCTGTGTCTCCCTCCTCCGATCGTGTGCGTCGCCTGTTGTGGGCATGTGTGCAGCGTTCGGACGTCCCTGCCTTGTGCCGCCTTCTACCTGCTCTTCATGCTCACCGGGGTCGCCCTCATCGGACTCTTCGTATTCCTCCAAGGTGAGGAAGCACGCCGTGCGTACGGTCCTACTTGTGCCGACCGTGGACCGGTTATCGATATGACTGACATACACACGGACTCAAGTGCGTACACACATTTCTGTCTGTCTGCCTGCCTGCCTGTCTGTCGTCTGTGTCATGTCATGCAGACGTTCGGCTGGTCGACCCCCATACGCATCGCGTGACGATTCTGGCGAGCGGCAGTGTGATGGGTGTGTTGGTGTGTTGGGCGGCGTTGGCAAGGGGCTGGCCCTGTGCGGTGCTGGACGTGTTCTTCGTGGGGTGCCTGGCCGTCCTGCACGTCTATGGAGGCCTGCAGGTGTGCATCTACTGCCTCTCAAACCTGTTCGATGGCCTGCTGCCCAACTACACCACTGCTGGCTGGGTAACACGCACCATGCGGCTGCTGCATCTGACCTTGGGTTATGTCATATTCGCGCCCCCCTTCATTTTGGCGGCTATCACCACCCCCTCGGCCCTGCAGGGCCGCATACTCTTCAATGGCCAGTGGCTTAACATACTCAAGCTGGGTATCATGGAGAAAGGCCAGGCGTGCAAGAAGGCTCTCATCGCACGCAAACACCCAATGGCAGGCTCATTGGTGTAGATAGATAGACAGACAGACAGACAGGCAGACAGGTGTTGCAGGTATATAGTATATACACACACATGCATACATACACACATGACATAGGTCCTTCATCGCGTCTGTCTGCAGCTAGCATATGTGGATATTTACGTCTGAGTGTGTGTGTGTATAAAGCAGGTCGATATGTTGGTTATGTGAATAGACAGACGCTCTCGGCGTGCCTGGCCCGAGTGCGCACTGCCTGATGTCGCACCACACAGGTGTCTGTGCTTGATCATCAGACAGACTGCTGTGATTGAATGTGTGTCTCCGTGTTTGTGCGTACGTGTGTACGTGTGCGCGTGTGCATTCATTCAGCAAGAACCATGTAATCAATCGTCAAGAGCAGACCGTTCCCCGTCCACACACACTGCAGGTACGTTTCTTCCCTCCCTCCCTCGCTCCCCTCACCCGCCCTTGGTCTGCCTGTCCGTCCCCGAACGTTTGTTTCTTGGTCGGTGCTATGGCCAGCTACTGTACAACCAATCAACCCATTTATGTGGTCGCCAACCGTCCAACTAACTCATCGCCTCCTGAAGGGGGGACATGAAGAACGAATGGCCGTGGGCCACCACTTGTGTTTTGGGCCCGTCTGTCTGTCTGTCTGTCCGTCTGGAGTGCTCACTCACGGCGGGTAGGAAGGAGGTGGAAACGAGGGGGGTGGGGGCAAGCCGTAGGAAGCTGGCATGTCCTCACGCAGCCCCGCCAATTCCTCCTGACGAAAGAGACGCAACATACACACACCGACCGCATAGCATACATAAACCACCTCGACTAGGCTACCTAGCTTGTTGCTTGCATGTGAAGGCCGTGTCCCTCCATCCATCCGTCCGTCCCCCCTACCTACCTCTGTTTCCTCGTTGACCGCTGGTAGTCTACCAGAGTGATGTGGGGCCTCGAACGGAACCTGGATGGATGGATGGATGGATAGAGGCGGCGACACACCAACGAACCACCACACCCCACACACAGCCATCCCGGTGAATACCCCGTGATCTAGTCCCTCCATTCATTCCCTTCATTCCCTCTCTGTTTTGCGCCCTGCCTCACCTCCGGCGTAACATTAGCGATACGAGCACTCTCATAAAGCGCAAGGCGCAGGGCTGCGTCCCTGCAATGAGTACACAAACATCAATCCAAGCAGCCAGAGAGAAAGGCATCCGCCCATGTATGTGCAGGGGTGATGCGATGGGTCATCCATTCATCCATCCGTCTGCCCCACGCCATCTATCTATCCCATTGCCCCTTCCTTCCTTTCTTACTCGCCCATCCTGGATTGCTTTTCGAGCTGATTCTCCAGGTAACTCTCCCTGATGACTCTTTCCAACTCCTCGTCATGATCCGCCTGTTCGATGCCCCCGTGTGACGCAACGGATGCCCCTCCCGACGCCCCCGCAAGGGTCTCGTGGCTGCACACACCATAGTTAGGAACGTACAGCACACACCAGGTCGGTCAGTCGGTGGGTTGTGGGTGCAGCCAGGCAGGCGACAGTCTGTGTGTGTGTGATTCAAAGTGAGGGCTGACTCACGAGGGGGCGACTGGCGGTGCTTTGGGAGGCGCACGTGCCGGCGCTGGGGGTTGGTATAGCTGCAGGTGCTGCTGCTGCCGGTACTCAAAGTGCTGTTGGGCGGTCTGCCTCGACAGCTCCAGGACCCGATTGAGTGCCTCATCCTCGGTCTCCCTGACACACAAACGCAGCACTCATGTGACAAAGCCAACAAAGGCGATTGATTGGTCGGCTGCGGGCCTGGCCTGGCCTGGCCTGTCGTAGATCGTGTGGGTGAGACGTCTGCCTAGATATCTGTCTGTCTATTTATCTCAAGCACCCACCCACCCGGTGATGTGCACGTCGCGCTTGGACTGTTCTACCGCCTGCTGGACCTCCTTGGCCTCACGCATACTGACCGACACAACACCCCAAAGACAGGCAACGCGGGCGGCGTGGCGGGCACAGTGTCAGACAGGGAGGGAGGGAAGGGGCCATACATACATACATACATACATCACACAATGGAGTGTTTGTTTGGTTACTTACCTGGCCCATACATTTGCAGTCTCGTTGATCCTATCCGTCCCCGACATGCCGCCCGCCATACGGCCGCCCTGGAAAGCACTAAATGCCTGCTGCTGCTGGTGGTGGTTGTGGTGTTGTTGGTGTTGCATGAGCTGTGGCTGGTTGTGGCGGTCGACTGGTATGTGGTTGTGGTTGCCTCCAGCGTGGGTACGGGTCCCCCCTTGTGGTATTGTTACCCCTTGCCCGTGCCCCTCGTCCTCCTTTTCCTCTCCCATGTCGTCGGCCGTGTGTGGTCTCTCTGCTGGCGTGAAGCCCAGGGAGGTGGGATCCATCCGCCTGCTCTGCTTCTCCTTCTGCTTCTCCTTTTTGCGCTGCGCCCTACGCGGCGGCACAGCCGCTGCTGCCGGAAGGTCATCCTGCGCCTTGCCCTTCTCACCCTCCTTACGCTTCCCCAACTGCAGCCAGGCGCACACGACACGACGCGACGCGACACGACACGACACGACACGACACGACACACGGTTGGGGCACAAGGAAGAGGGGAAGGAAGGCACAGTGTGTGCCTGCCTGACACCCATATCTCTTCTTGCCTCCCCGCTGCCTTAGTGTCTTTCATTTCGAGTTGGCACCGTTTTGAGGTATTTGAGTTCCATGTCTTGTGCGTCCAGTTGCTCCTGCTGGTCGTCTGGGCCATGGCGCGAGGGCAAGCCGCCGTGGGCCTTGTCCTCTTCCTCTACACTCGCCTGTTTAAGGAGAGGGACAGACAGACAGAGAGAGGAGGTAGGCGTGTATTCATGTGTGGGCAGTGTCCCGTCCGTCCCCCCCCCCGGTGGTTGGGTTGAGAAGTGACTGGCCGACCTGTGCAGTGAATTTGTAGAGGAGTCGGTGGCTCTTGTTCTGGTGGCGCTTGTCCTTGGCCTGTCGCTTCAAGGGTTCGTCGACCAAGAAGACCTCGGTGACCTGGCCGTCACAGCCTTGGCCCGGCAGGCTGATGACGCCGCTGCTGTTGTAGCTCTCATCCACCTCCCCCTCCTCGAACGACGGGTATTGCGAAGATGACGACCCGCCCTCCAGCGACTGGGGCGCCGCACTCCGCCCAAATACGTGCGCACCGTGACGCTTGCCGCACCCCATACGCATGCACTGTTGTATCCACGGAAGACCCACACACACACATTGTGTACACACACATGCCAAGCCACAGCGCTGCTCGGTGTTTGCAGGTGTGGGTGTGTCCATCCCTCCCTCCCTCCCTCCCTCCCTGCGCACTCTGTCGCGTTTCCTCAGAGTGGAAGCCGTCATTTTGTTCATGATGGGTTCGTCAGCCCACTCATTCCTCCGTGCCTCCTTGGCGCTAACGGGCTCGCAGAGACCAAGCAACACCGCCAGGCGCTCACCGTCGTTCTGCACACAGACATACAAACATACAACGGACAGCGCGGCGACCGACATCAGACAGGCAGCATGATGCGATGTGATGTGATGTGCAGTACCCGCCGCTAATGGATGGTCGGGGTCTAATTCATGTAGTCTCACCTGTGTCCGAATCGCGTGGCCGAGATCATGACCATCCGGCGTCGAGCACAGCTTCCAGAAGCAATCACAGCGGTACCTGCGACCCGACCACAGGCATTGCATACATATGGATGGTGAGTGCCGTAGGGTGGGTGCGGCCATGGTCTTACTTACACGCTTGTGTGTATAGAGGACGTTCCCAGGCAATGGACCTCGACAAAGCTAAGACGGTCTGCATCCGAGGCGGCTTGCGTTTTCAGCGCTTTTCCGCAGACAGAGCACGGCATGTCGGCGTGGCTAGACTCCTCCATCTTGACCACTGCTCCACTTCAGCTGCCGAGTGCTGTGCCCCAGGGCGCCCCGACAAGGGTGTGTGGCGGGTTTGCTCCGAGTGGAGTGGTAGTCGGTAACACAACTGCAAAACAGAGAAAGAGAGTATGTCTGCATACCTACGTGCTGTGCGCATGTGGGTGGAGGGGGATTGGTGGCCTGCCTGCGGCGATGGGTCAGGGAGTTCACCTCGCGCAAATGGCTGGATGTGTGCTGAGATGCGTAGCACCGGTCGGCCCGCCTCAAATAATGGTAGGTACCCCTACAGGCATGACATACGGTGTGCGTGTGAACAAACAGACTTTTCTGGGCAGATGGTTACCTAGATGACGATGTCGGCGAGAGTGCTGGATAGAAGTTGGCCGTGCAGCGCCCCAGATGCCTGCAGGAGAGGGAATGACGATGCGTGTCGTGACCAGGCAAGTGCATTCGGCGTGCCTCAGGCGAGGTAGCCAACCTGTTGGACAGATACGACAAGGTAGGCCCTGGATGGAGACTACAGGCTGGATGAGGGCCGCCACCTGTGTGCCCTCTGCCGGAACTGTCTACCCTCAAGCAAACCAAGTCAGCTGGTGTTTACCCGTGCCTTTCTTTACGGAAAAGCTCGCACTCATTGTCCCCCTCAGCAAACGACCGCAAACGAAATGCTGAGGCAAGGGAGGAGGAGCATGGCTGGCCATGGCTGCAGGCAGCAGAGAGCAGTCAGCCACATAGCGGTCCAGCGCCACTCGCACAGGTGACTGACTGACTGATTGAGTGACAGCAACGCATACGCATATCCAAACACAACATCTGCTTGTGTGGCTCACCGATATACAGCGGGTTAGGCAACATCTTGCAGTCCGAGGCCGTCAGGGGTGCTCTGCCACAGGTTGGCTGGCGCAACCAGCCACTGGGTGGGTATTGATGTGCTCTGGGTGTGCCTGCAGCACCAGAACAACCCACAAAAGCCCCCTCTTGGATTGTATGCAGAACAGATATCCGGCACAGGTGGGTGGGATCACCAACTCCCTCGTCACTGAGGGCCCCGCGGACAATGAATGTTGTGTTTTGCTTTGCCATTCCTCTTTACACCTTGATTGCTGGGCCCCTCACCGGCAAGCAGCCTTCACAGGTGGGAGGAGAAGACGCTTCACTGAACGTTTTGATTTCCTCTCATCCTGTGTCGTGTCAGTGCCTCGCTCGCAGAATAAGTGGGCCTGGTTCTATCGACGTCAACCAAGCGTGCAGCACGGACCAGTTCGGTAAACGATAACACAGTCCGGGGGGTAAGAATTGTCACTCCGGCCGTGTCACCCGTGTGTGAGCTGACTGGCTCTCCCTCTTGGTGTTTCTGTGCGTGCCTGCCTTAGGTACACGCTCTACAAACGTGATGGCGAGAGCGATAACCCGCCTTTGGTGTTTCCCATTCAGCTCCGCTGGTCCATCATTAATTACCTCAACAGCTGATGCACAAATGGTTCAAACTGCGCTAAGCATTCGTGATCGCGTATCGTAGGTCTCCCATCCCAATACCGGACGAGGGAGTGGACTTCGTCGATGGATTGCGGGCTGTCGCAAGGAGCGGCACGGGTGCAACAGCTTGCATCTACACCGTCAACAAGGTAAGTCACGTGTCCGGGCAAGACACGTGGCACATCCGCGTTTTTTGTGCCTTGTCTGGTTGCAGTCTATGTCCACCGAGCGTCGCTTCTACACCGACACCGACTCCGAGCTCCTTCTGGTCCCACAGGGAGGTCAGCCGCTCAGGACACTTGGGAGGCCGACACTGTGTCTGTCGGTTTCCATACAGGTCGCCTTCTGATTCGGACGGAGTTCGGGGAGTTGCATGTCGGACGGCTGGAGATATGCGTCATACCACGGTAGGAGACAGCAGACGCTGGCCGGACCTCCCATGCTTGTTCCCTTCTTTGCAGGGGTGTCAAATTCCAGGTGGATCTCATTGATGCTACTGCCAGAGGCTATGGTATCAAAAGTGCAGCCAAGAGTGCAACGTATGCTCCCCGAATGTATACACAGCCCTCGAGAACCATGGGACACAGCTTCAGTTGCCTGAGTTGGGAGTCATTGGAGCGTCGTCAGGGCTTGCCGCGGCAAGGTGAAGAGACAGAAGTCACTGTCGCGCAAGAAGGACAAGCAGCTCCCCCCGCCCATCTTCTGTCCAGGCACTTCATAGCCCCGTTGGCACAGTACGATGAGACGATCAATGAGCCCTGCACGCTCATCACTCGCTTCCAGGTTGGCCAACAGATGCACCACATGGAGACTACAGCTGCTTGGTCCGGAGACATGATTGTTGTGATTGTTGTTCCCTGTCATAGGGCGCGACGTACATCGGCGAAGCCCGAACATCCCCCTTTGACGTTGTCGCGTGGTTCGGAAGTCTGTGGCCTTACAAGTACGACCTACGCTCCTTCACATGCATCAAGTGGGTCAGCATGTTATGTGTAATGAATGTTATGTGTACCGGTAACGATCTCTACTTTCGTCTCGTTGGTTCAGTTCAGTCACGCACGACCATCCGGACCCTGTAGGTGCTCGAATAGCACGTGTGGTGATAGTGAATGACCGTACAGCTTGTGTCTATCCATGTGCGTGTAGTCCATCTACACAGGTGAGAAAGGGCTAGGATACGTCGTCAACGTCCACATGTGTATGCGGTGTCAGTGCTGACCTCGCCATCACCTCAGACGGTAAGTGGCGCCACAAACGTCTTGGCTGCAATGAGTGCTCGTATCTTATTTCCGTGGTGTGTTCCGTTGACAGGGCGTTGCAAGTATGCTCCTGTCACTGTCGCACACGTTTCTATGAGCTTGAGCATGTATGTCTTTGGCAGACATTGATTTCGTCATTTTCCCTCCAAGGTGAACAAAAACCCGGTGCTCTCACCCGTGTTAACACTGCAGACGGCTTATCCCCTGCTGCCTGCAGGTGGGTCGTTGCGGAGAACACGTTTCGCCCCCCGTGGTTTCATCGGTACGAAGTGATGACTTCAAATGCAGTTCCCCGACAGGGCGTCTGTGTATGAATGTTGCAGGAACTACATGAGTGAGTTCATGGTGAGACACTGACTGACACCTTTTATGGACAACAATGTGACACCTACCCTCACAGGGCCTTCTTCAGGGCTCCTACGACGCCAAGGAAGAAGGTTTCGCCCCAGGTATGCATTCAGATGTGTTGAAGGATGACATTCGCTGTCAATTACTATCGGCGTCCATCTGCAGGGGGTTGCTCGATACACAACAGCTTCTCTGCTCACGGCCCTGACGTCAACGTTTGGCGGAAAGCGAGCGAAGAAGACACGAAAATCCCAAAGCGATATGAGGAGACGATGGCATTCATGTGGGAAGCCAACCGAGTCTGGCAACCAAGTGCGTAATGAGGGAGGAGCCAAACCACGAGAAGAAACAATCAAGGTATCATTTTCTTTCACACAGCGCTGTGGGCGATGAATTTGGAACAGCTCCAGCAGGATTATGCAGGTGGGCCAAAGCTGGAACGCGTATGCGCTGATCCACTGACATAAGCCCATGTTTTTCAGAGACAGCCTGGAGTGGGTTCCCGGCCGCCGACTTGTGATGATCGGCATAGTCTGCCCATGTATAATGTGTTTCCGTTGCGGAATCTATGCAGTGTACGTGTGTGGACACACAGGCGTATGTACACCTCGTATGGTGCAAAAAAATCTGTCAAAGATGCACCATCAGTCGAAAAAGTACAAACTATCGCGAACAGCGGTAATGTCAAGATCTCCTCTCGGCGGAAGAGGCTGCAAATGCTGTGCAAGGCTTCCCAAACGCGCTCTAATATCTTCCTCAAAAGAGCCCTGTGTAGGACAGAGAACGGAGTAGAGACGCGATCTTATATCTTCCTCAAAAAGATGCCTCACCAGGATATTAGTCGAGTAAAGATTAATCCATTGGTCTCTTATGTGCCGGTTCATGGTGTCAACGCTGGCCGCATGTGTCCAGAAGGAGTCGTGCACTGCAGCGAAGTCAATGCCTGAAACCAAAAGAAGCCGAAACCCTTGACCTGATCCCTTCCTTTCTTAAGTCGTCGAAGATTCACCCTCTGTCTGACAGGCTTCGGCTGTCATCATCATGTGAGAAGCGTCCAGGGAATGGATAAAATTTGGAGGGAAACCACTTTTCTGCCTATATTTGTCAGTCTTCATCTCATCTGAGGGCTCCTTCAACAACACCGTTTTTTGCAGCGGCGTCCGTACTGTAACATTCGCGAGGTCTCGGTAAGGCTGATGACACGGCCTGCAAACGAAAAGAAAAAAATGAAAAGGACACGAAAAGTCGTCCGCTTACAAGCCGACTCCGCTGATCCAGGCTACCGGGACCCCTACTTTGTTGCAAATCCTTGACACGTCATCAAACCTATCACGACATCCCAACACAGTCAGTGTAGCATTTAAGCCTGCGTTCTCACCATTTCTTGATTCTCATCGCTTTGCGGAAAACCTCGTCGATTGACCTCAGGACCTGTGTGGCCAGGTACTGCGCAATCTCAGCTAATATTTTCTCCTCTACAGTTTCCCCAAGAAGGTCTTCCAGCTGTGCAAGAACCTGAAACGTATACAGCATGTCCTGAAACTCGTCGGCAGTGGTTCAGAATAATAGTGACCTTACCTGGTCTTTCGCACCGAGTACAGTGACTCCGTAAACCACCGTCATCACCGTCTGCTTTACCACCTTAAATGACCCCATTCGAGCGAGGACCAGACGATGGGTATGGTTACCTGCGTTGGTTCAGGTCTTATCACCTTTCGCTGCAGCACTTGGTGTTCGAGACAAAATCTGGCAATTTCTGATCTTCTTTCTGAACGTGAAGGGGCGTTAGCGTGCTCTTCGACCTACAACAATCGTGCACGAGGAGCATTGTCGTATTGTCCCATTCCTCACTTTTTCTTTGACGATATCGAGTACACGGGAATAGACGTCTTGGGGCCTCTCGCTCGGTGTGATGTTCACCGCTACAGCTCCATCGATATCACGGCCCAGTGCTGCATGTGATTGGATCATGTGTTCCTTGTGGGACGCTAGTTGTTGCTTACATGCGTAGTGTTGTAGTCCATTGCACGAGCCGTCTTGGTGTACAGGAATCGCGCTTCTATAGGTAGACGGCTCTCCCGATTCGATCGCCTCAATATACTCCAAAGATGCAGCGAGGGCCTGCCAAGGATCCTCCGCCTCCACCCATGAGAAATTTCGCCGAATAAAGGCTGTCTCTCCATCTTCTTGGCTTAGCACTCTGTATTCTTCCCGCCACTTCGGCGTTTGCTGCTCCACCCATTCAACTCGTTCAGCAAACGTCAATTTGTCGTTCCCCCACAAATTGGCAAGATGCACCTTCAGCCAGAAGAGACCTCTGTCACCCAAAGGCCTCGCCAGGTGGAAACGCAGAAGGCCTCTTGCCACGTCGTCTCCTTGGTGGTTCAAGTGAGGCGGTATCGGATACACCCGGCCTCTAAAGTCGACGTTATGGGGAAAGTAAATAGCATCCGCGTGGCGAAAAGCATTGGCCGAGGACAACTTGAGAAGAAACGCAGGACGAAGCGAAAGCATTTTGACGCGCTCTCGTGCTTGCTAGGCGACGATCGAAATGATGCATGCCAATCACGCCAAACGTAAAAAGAAGTCCGTTTTCTTACGTGTGAAAGGGTCAGACGCTCTAACCGCGACATCTCGTCCGCTTCGACGACAAGCGCCTGTCCGTGATCGTTTTTGGAGTCGTGATCGGGCAACCTGATTGGCGACATCTCCTCCGCTTCGACGACAAGCCCCTGTCCTTGATCGTTGCCGGACTCGTGATTTAGTAATCTAATCGATTGGTAAAGCGAACAACCCATACGCCACTATGCCATTTGCCAGTTTCGATTTTCACCTCGGAGGCACGTTGCCGATCTTAACATTCTCGTCCCACGCAAGTTTCATCAAGTTCAGGATCTTCCCATTAATGTGCCACGGCACTTCCCCGAGCTTGGACACAATAGCGAAGACACGTTCAAGCTTACAAGCCTTGAAGACATTCTTCAACGAGCGGGACGATCCCGTGACCCGGACAAACGAAGACCTGACACAGTGACTCAGGTTAAGTGTATGGTCGAACTGGCAGGGAAATCCGCACCTTATTGTGAGGTATCCACCTTCTGCATAACCTGTCCACGGAATAGGAGCGCAAACCATTGGCTGGAGTTTTGGCTTCATGTACACACAAAAACACCAATCCATACACACAAAAGTGGAGACTCTTGACTCGAGGTTGTTCCATTCCTTTCCTCTTTGCCGACGTGTGCGTACATCAAGGAGCGCGACGTCGCTAGTAGTCATGGGAACGTCAAGCATCTCCGCAACGAATGGACGCATCTGCACAAGGCCGTACTTCTTCCCCTTGGCCCAGCGATAAGCATGGCGAAACGCCGGGACCTCAACCTTGAAAAAGTCTCGTCGACTGCGGAACAGCTCGTAGTAGTCTTCTTCGTTCCCAACAATGCAATCACTGGATGGTAGGTCACCAGAAGCCCTTTCTTCCCTCCGCTCTCCTGCTAAAACCTTATCCAACAAATGGAGTAGAGGTTTGCCGCTTTGGTAAAGCGTTGTCAGCTTCTACCTTTTTTGCTTTATCGAAATCAACTGCTACAGTCGCATGCTGCAGCAACAAGTTGACTAGCAGGCCACCGACGGAGAGACGCTCAGCTTTGGGCCAAGTCGGGTTCTCCATACGGCTGCTCATGACCTGACAGGCTTTTCTTGTCGAGGTTTGCGCCGCTGCTTTCCATCGATAGTAGTCCGCATAGCTGCTAGATCCGAAAGTCCCCTCGATTTCTGTCAAGACATTCGGAAGAAGAAGATCTGCAAACCATTCTGTTTGGCTATGCATCGATACCCTTCGCGTTCCATTCTTGGTTTACTACGTCCCCGACCGCCAGTCCGACCTTTTTAAAATAACAACATCGTCAGATCCAAATAAAAAATCATCAGATCCATCGCTGTGAATGCTTCCCGTCTTCAAAGCTAATATATTAAGCCCTCACTTGAGCAACGGTCGCTTCACGAAAAAGGGAAGGCTTGGGCATTGCAGACTTATTCCCCACAGGAGCATACAGAGTCTCCATCACCGTCTTGCACGTAATGACACTCAGTAACAACGATCCTAAAGTCTCCTTGGCCTCGATGAACTTCGCCGTAGTGTGTTTGTTTCCTCGGGCGACTCCAGTTGACGCTTCTCTATCGATGGCGATTTCCAAATCCTTAACCCACTGTCCCCATATTCGCTTTGTTTTGCTGGTGATTGCAAAACGATCCACAGCCAATGATTCCCGGAACGTTTCGATTGCTGCCTCCCTGACATAGACAGAAGACTGTACACATGCGCATGCCGCATGCCACATGCCACACGTCTTGCCGAATCAAGACTTACCATATGTTCCGCTCAATCATGCTCTGACGCTTCAATGATATCTCGCGTCTGTCCGTGCTAGTTCTCTTTCTCGAAATCCCCGAAGGAGACGGAATGGGAAAGGAGTTCTCTCCATATAAGGACTCTTTCCAAGCACCAACCACTTCTGCTGGAAAGAGGTCGTCCATTTCTCGAGGGACGTATATCGAGGATTGAAGCTGCTCGATGTGGCGAAAGAATACCTCTTGTGGCAGGTCTGACAAGACTATCCCTTTTCCCATGAGATAGATCTCGGCTCTGCTGATGACCTCTGTCACCTGAGAAGGGGCTTGCGCCTCCAGGTCTGCCGCACGGCACTCGCCCAGAAGCTGAAACAGCACTCTCCTCTGCTGATCTGACATGTGCAGCAATGCGTCGAGTGCTCTGGAGGGCTCAGCAGACGTTGTGAACGCCTTGCTGTGGGCCACCCGCTGCCACCGCAAACAGATCCACGCTCGAGGATTTGATGCTCCACCCTTGTTGAAGGCCACCAAGCCCCTAGCCGCAGTGTGAACTCGCTGAATCATGATTGAATCCCCCAAATGAGATCCACGGTCACGTGAAGTGGTTAGAACAATGAGTTCAGTCTTTGCCTTCGCCGATCGAAAACAAAAGCTCGCCGAAAACAAAAGTTTGTCGAAAACAAGCTGGCGTCAGTGGAGTCCTCTCCACAGCGAAACAACTACTTGGGCAACACCTTCTTGCAATTGGTGGACCCGGCCGCTCGCCTTTGCATTTCGAGAACGTTACGAAGTGAGCCTCGCGTTGTGCACAGCCAGCATTCAAAGGAGGGAAAGGAACGCAATCATTCGTGTTGCGTGCTTTCTGTCATCATGCAGGCGTTGCAATGACAGACGCTGTCCAAGGTGATGATTTGGACCACATGGTAGGCGAACGAGAGGGAGTATGGGTGTGGAGGACAATCATCAACACAGGGGGCACTGTTTTGCGACTCGCTCGGTTGTTCCTTGTGCACCAGCAAGCGGAGCTCTCCCAAATGGCTGAAGGTTTGAAGGCCAAGGAGCCCGCAGCCGCACCCCATGAGGAGACCCACGGAGCAGCAACAGAGACCACACCTGCAGAAGGAGAAGACACGAATGAAGTCGACATGAGAAGGTGAGTACGACAGTGGAAGCCACTTCGCCCCTGGCACTGCTTGCTGTCCTCAACTGGTTGCTCTGGAATCAACAGCATTTATGTTGGCAACGTCGACTATGCTGCGACTCCGGAGGAGTTGCAAGATCACTTCAAAGCGTGCGGTACTATCAATCGGATTACCATCATGGTCGACAAGTTCACTGGCCACCCCAAGGGCTTCGCCTACGTCGAGTTTGGTGACTCTGAGTGTGTCACGCATGCGCTGTCACTCAACGAGAGCATACTGCGGGGAAGGCAGCTGAAGGTCACGGCGAAGCGCACCAATGTGCCTGGTTACAACAGAGCGAGAGGCAGGGGGAGGGGGAGGGGGAGGGGAGGCGGCGCAGCAGCGTACGGGTATGCGCCGAGGGGATTCTATGGGGGGTACGGTCCTCGTTATAGAGGCTTCCGGCCACGAGGTGGCTACGGCCGTCCGTACTGAGCTCGGGTTGGCGCGGCAAGTGTCGACGCTGTCGTTGCATGTGTGCTGTGTTGTGCGTGAAACGAAAACTGATTGAATGGAAATGATGATCGTTGTCGAAATCATAGTTGTTTTGGCTGTGCTCGAAAAAGAAAGGAAAGAAGTTTTAGGGCATCGATCGCAAAACATATTTGTGACAAGTCAACGAAAGACGGCGAACCACACAACACCTCCGCGGCAGGTCCAGATGGACTTCGATAGCTTATGCCGCTTCCGGACGTCTATCTGCGAGACCCAGCTCAAGTGAGTGACGCAGGAGAAACAGCAAACCGCGCATCTTTGCACATCTGCCTTGCTCCTCCTTGTCCCGTAGGCACGGCGACTGTAAGCAATCTTCCCCTGCTCACGACACCGCGCTTGATAGGGGCAGGATGGGATTGTTGTGCTGCGTGTGACGACTGTCAGGCCTGATGAAGGACCGGTGCGTGTACTCCCACTGCTTGAGCTGGAAGCGGCGGAATCCGAAGGAGTACCCTTACAGATCTCAGCTATGCCCCAACGTGCTGTTTCAGACTGAGAAGGGCAAGATGCGGGTCAAGAACTTCTGTCGACGTGGGAGAATGTGTATGTACTCTCACTCAAAGGAAGAACAGGTGAGGAGGTGCAAAGAGACGACTCACACTGTAGCGGCGTCCTGGATGCGTGTTGTGTTGCTATGATACATGCGTCGTCAGATGTTCCATCCGCTGACATACAAGACGAAGCTCTGCAGAGACTTCATGTCGTCGGGGGCATGTCCAAGGTGAGCAAACGACGTGCTCCGGGGCGGTACAAACACCTGCACTTACGTTGAGTCACAGATATTTCTGCCCGTTTGCTCATGGCGACCAAGAACTGCGCGTCAACGTAGACTTCAAGTAAACCGACACACCCTTCGAACACACAGATGCAACGTTGGTCTACGTCGCTGATGTGTTCTTATTTGCAGAGTGCTTCAGGGTCCCGAGTGAGTGACACAGTCCTCCAGAAAACATCCAACTGTCATCTTGGTATCTCGCTCTTGTGTCACGTTGTACAGAGTGTTGGATTTGCCACCTATGGAGGTCCAGAACACGGCTGACTCATCCAACATGGCGTCACGAGGGATCCCTCAGACGGCGTCACCATTCCATCGCAGTCAGAGCCTCAACACTATCTCAGCGTGCGATGGAGCTGCTACGAGACCGAGGGCGGTGAGTGACCTTGGCAATTCGTCGTTCACCGCAGTCCCGTCCCCATCCCTGGCGGCGTCTGCACGCCCTACTCCGCTAGCAGCACCTTCTTTGCCGGCTGACCTCGCCTTGCAGCGTGCCGCTTCTGATTGCAAGTGCGACTATTCAGCCCCTGCAATGCAGAATCTGTCAGCACAGTCCGCGCCGCTGAGTGTGGGATTCCCACCATCACTTGGCTTCGGGTACGGGAATACATTAACTGCACGCACAAATGGAATGGATTGGACGCACGCTCCGTCGGTCAGATGGGGTGTGGGCGCTGGTTGGTCTCCCGTCGTGAAGCCACTTCCTCAGCCGAAAGAGCGGCGTGACATCCAAGTTGACAACACAGATCCTGGACGCAGCCCTCGTTCTTCGTCGCCGTCGTCTCCCTATCCCGCCACGCAGCTAGGCTCAGACCTAGACCGTGGAGAACGACACGGCTCGGACTCGTCAACGGTGTTCTCTGATTGGAAACCGCCGGGGTGGGCGCCTGGCGCTCAGGACGTCAAGGTCAGCCACAGGAAGAAGCTGTACGAGCGGGCAATTCGGGATGACGGGGGCATGAGGATGCTGCTCACCAAGCAACCCGAACCGAATCACCTGAAGACGTCGTCATCGCTCCCATCTCTTGGTATGCTCGCATCCTTTCCCACAGTGAATGGGATGCGTTGCAGTGACCTGCTTGCTGTCGATCTGTCTTGTGTTGTAGCCGCTCGCGAGCTTCTAGACGCATCGGAGGGCGACAAGGGAGAGGCGATTTCCCATCGGTCCATTCCACTTTTCTTCACGCCATTCGACCGGGAGTCATAGCGGGTGTCTGACATGAGTATCGGTACGGCGCGGCAAGTGCCGAAACATTTTTCTGTTCGTGACGGTGTTCCGTGACTCTTTCTGTGGAAGTTGATTGATGGACAGCATAACATGGGGAAAAGTCGCTGGTGTTAGGGCCAAACAGCACTCTTGCAGGATTGAGATTGAATTCATACTTGAGTCATTCCCACGAGTGCCTCATGGCCGATGATGACGGCGCCAGGGGTATGGCGAGAGAATAGGAAAAAATAGACACACCCAGGGATGCGAGCTTGCGAGCTTTCGGGAAGAAAACGGCCCGTCTTGACTGGAGTCGTTAACACAAGACTCAACTCAAAAGGATGGAGAAAAGGGACAGACCGGTCGGTGCAGAGCACGGAAACGATGCCAAGAGGATGCGGATGAATGGACCTGGCGGGCCTGGGTCATTCCCAGCGCCATCCGGTCCCAAGGTACGAAGCTGCCTGCGCTGCATCGCATCGCAGCGGCCTTTGATTTGCCGCGTTGGCTTGCGTGGTGCATCCACAGGTCACGTTTCTCACGAAGAAGCAGCGTGAGCGGCTCGCCCTCCAACAGAAGCAAGAAGCTGAGGAAGCAGAAAGGCTGAAAGCTGAAAAGCAGGAGGTCCTTCGTCGTGAGTTTTTGTTGTCTGAGGAGCTGCAGCGCGAGAAGGAGAGGCAACTGCGCATGAAAGAAAGGGAGCGCGCACGTGAAAAGAAGGAGGAGAGGAGGACCAAAGAGGAGAATGCGCATCGAGAGCAGAAGGAGTAAGCATGAAAGCTATCCCTTGACGAATCGTCATCTTCGTGATTGATGGCATGGAACAGGAAACGGCCGAGCGACATCCAACCTGGAAGCGGAGATCGACAGGTGTCTTCATGTCTGGACGTGCGCGCTTCGGCCAACGTATATACCTGATGCTATGTGTGTAGGATCGACAGTCCTCATCCCTCGCGCATTTGGACATGCTGCGGCTCCCAGAGAGCGAGAAGCGCGCCAGACAACAAGAGAAAGAGCTTGCTCAGGTCGGCATTCTTGATATTCAGACGGGCTCGACGTGAAAAATGGTGTGTCTTTTGTTTGTTTCTTTGTGCCTCAGATCAAAGAACACGTAGGGTTTAGGCAGGGCAGCACGCGCTGAGTGCTTTGTGTGTTTTGTGCAGTATTTGGGTATGCGCCGAGAAAAGAAGAAGGTTCAGAAGCCTTCAGGTAAATGAACAATGCACTTGATGCAGCGCTGGTTCTGCACGTATGTCACGCCTTTCTATGCCTTTTTTTTTACAGAGAAGTTCAGGTATACCGTGAAAGACAAACGACCCCGGACTCAGCATGGTATGTTTTAATAGGAATATTTTTACTTTTGAGTGGGACACAAGTGAGGACACTAATCGTGACGACTCCAACCCCATCTACCAAGAAAAACGAGAACCTCAATTACTCTTCGGGCGAGGCTTTAGGGCCGGGATTGATGTCAGGTAGACATGAACGAATGCTGGTTCACTGTGATGTAGTTTCCGTGTTTCTTTCCAACACGTGTTGTTAAAAGGGAACAGCGCAGGCAAAACAACTTCTACGACGAGCTGGTGAAACGGCGGGCTGAGCAGTCAGGAGAAGACATCTCTGCGTTTGTCAAGGCCAGAAACCAAGCCGACGAGAAGGGAGCTTCCCTGAAATCCCGCGATATCGAGGTCCAAAAAAAAAGGAAAAGATCAGAAGTTTTCGTTTTCTATCGACCTTCTGTTTCTTCACAGGAAAACGACCCGGCGAAGAGGCACTGGACCGAGAAGAAGCGGGAAGAAATGAACGACAGGTGATAAGCACAATCGCGATGATGCAAAACCCGGTGGATGCGGCTGAATCGATTAATTTTCAGAGATTGGAGAATCTTCAGAGAGGATTTCGGTTCGCTCGAAAATCAATCCCAACCACGCAGTTGTTGGAGTAACATTGCTTTATCTTGTTCTTTCAGAGATCTACATCAAAGGAGGGCGTGTGCCGGCGCCGATTCGCACGTGGGCAGAATCTCCCCTTCCATGGGAACTGCTCGAAGCCGTCAGGAAGGTCGACAACTGACATCACCCAATCGACTGTCGAGTAAAGTTCTGTCTCCCTGTCTCGCAGGTGGGATACGCGAAACCCACCGCCATTCAAATGCAAGCGATTCCAATCGCATTGGAAGTGAGTCGCATAACGATATTAGTGACTGACCATTCAACACTACTTTCTGGACTTGTGTCACGCAGATGCGAGACTGCATTGGCATTGCTGAAACGGGGTGAGAGGCAGAAGAGAGCGACTTGTTGGCCTTGTTCGCTGATTTGACTCCGCATTTTTCGGGTTCAGTTCGGGCAAGACTGCAGCGTTCGTTCTTCCCATGCTCACTTATGTCAAACAACTACCTCCGCTGAACGACGAGACCTCACAAGATGGACCATATGCTCTTGTCTTGGCGCCATCGAGGTACCGAAGCGAAGTGGAAAAAAACAGCCTGAATGATGCAACGAAACGAATTTGTCGCAGAGAGCTGGCACTTCAAATCGAGGAAGAGACCAAGAAGTTCGCGTCCTTTTGTCAGTGTCGCAGTGTCGCTGTGGTCGGTGGGAGAAATGCAGAATCGCAGGCATTCGAGCTTCGCCGCGGATGCGAGGTTGTCATCGGAACTCCCGGCCGAGTATGTGTTTTGCGGACACGATGTTCTGTTGCATGCACTGGTTGTTTCGCTTCGTTCAGGTGAAGGACTGTCTGGAGAAATCCTACACGGTCTTAAACCAGTGTGCATACTTGGTGCTGGATGAGGTATTCGCTTTAAAGAGACAGATGAAAGGCTCCCAATATATATCTTCCACCCCTTCTCTCGTCTTTTTCAGGCTGACCGGTACGGGACGCGACAATCTACGCCCCCCTTCAATTCGTTTTCTTTTTTGCAGGATGATAGATATGGGTTTTGAAGAGATTGTTAACTGGATACTGGACCAGATTCCGAGCTCCAACCTGAAGTCGGAAAACGAAGACCAAGCCACGAAAGAGGAACTGGAGGCAAAGGCAGGACACAGAAAGTATCGCATCACGTAAGTTAATGCGAACACGGATCCCCCTCGACTGCGGCATCTACATGCTCAACGTTGTGGTGTTCAGCCACATGTTCTCTGCAACGATGCCGCCGGCAGTAGAGCGCCTTGCAAGGTATTCATGGAATGACTTTTGCTTATAGACTTCGAGGCTGTTTCGCTTGTACTTTCAGAAAATATCTTCGTGCACCGGCGTACATTTCCATCGGAGACCCTGGGGCCGGAAAGCGTGCAATTGAGCAACGCCTTGAATTTATGGCGGAGGCCAAGAAGAAGCAGGTCGATACGCATTGAACTAGCGTCTTGTTACAAGTCTGCGCGGAGATCCCTGTCTCTTCCACCGTTGCAGCGTTTGCAGGAGATTCTTGAGGAGGCAACTCCACCGGTCATGGTCTTCGTCAACCAGAAAAAAGTGGCTGACGTACTTGCCAAGTCCCTTGATAAGATGAACTTCAAGTATGGCTCGGATACATCAGCAATTCCCGCACCATTTCCGACTGCCTGCTTTCTCTTGTTCTTGCAGAGCGACGTCGTTGCATGGCGGAAAGGCGCAAGAGATCCGAGAGGCAGCCTTGGCGGGATTCAAAGATGGGACATACGATGTCTTGGTCGCCACCGACGTCGCTGGTACGGTCACACCTTTGCTCTCCTCTTCACTTGTGGTATTGCCTACAACCCTCCTGTCACACAGGTCGCGGCATCGACGTCGAAGGTAGAAAAGGGGCTTTCTTCTGTTATTTCATCCGTCACTGTTGTCCACTTCAGGCGTTCAGCACGTGATCAACTTCGACATGCCAAAAAACATAGAAGACTACACGCACAGAATAGGTCCATAAAAGACTAAGGACTTCTTGCGTGGACTTCTTTTTGTACAACCTCACCTTCCTTCTTTCGATCAGGACGTACTGGACGTGCAGGAAAAAAAGGTGTCTCTACTTCGTTTGTGACTGATGAGGACTCCCATCTGCTACAAGACCTGCGTACCTTGGTCCGAAGAAGGCGTCTGGCTTGCCTTCCCGTTAGATTTTTCTATTGTTGATTCTTTTCTTGCAGCTTGTTTCGACGAACAACATCGTTCCTCATGAATTGAACTCCAAGCTGAAATCTCTGAGCTGACCAGCTTTCGTGATACTATGACTTAGTTTCAGAGACTGCTGCGCATGTATTTGTAACACTGTTTTCGTACTGCGTACTCTACGCACACCTCTGGCCACTAACAGTGTCCTTGTCAAAATGCACACGAAAGCTTTCTGAGTCGATCATCCCCTATATGAATTCTCCGACCGGGGTTTTTTCCGCCTGGAATTCCGATGCGTGTAGGCAGCGTATGCGAGAGCTGTTTTGGTTAAGCAAAACTAGACAGTATGCTCTCGCTTCTGATGCCATCCACATGTCGTTCGGCAGCCGAACAAAGGAGGGAAAAAAGAAAACGATTTATGGCAATCCCTTCCAGTTTCACGGATTTCCCAAACATCCCCTTTACTGTTTTACGAACACGCCTGCCCGAAGGGCAGGCACTGGCAGGCACTCCACTTGCCCGATGGTTCGGTGGCAATTTCCCCCATTCTGATGCATTCGAAGGTGGAGGTGCTCAAAGAGTTCAAAAGGGGGAAGAAGGATGATGGGTTTGGGGAAACGCGCAGAGTTTTTCAAAGGACCCGTTTGCTGAAGGGACGCCCCGGACTCCCAGCTGGTGTGCAGGAGGCGGAGGATCTCCTTTTCCCGGAGGAGAAGCAGGTGGGGAACTACAAGCCATCTTCTCTGTGCATTTGTAAACTTTTTCACTTTCTCACCAGAACGCAGAGGCACAGCAAGATGACGCCGTCCATTCATTTGATCTGGAGTGGAAACAACTCTCACAAGACCTGGACTCTCATGACCAATGGGCTGGAAAGCGGAGGAAGACCTCCGTCGAGAATGCGCATCGTAATGGCTCAATAGAGCCAACCTGTCCTGGCTATGACCGGCTGACGAGAGAGCTGCTGTACGAGAAGAGGGCACCCGCCAGGGTGAGCGATCGACGGAGGCTACACCTGTGATTCTGCACTGGTGGACGTCTTGCTCGTTCGCTTACTTGGTCTGCAGGAGAGGCTGAAGACTTCAGGAGAGCTGGCACGAGAACGATCGCTGCAGCTGGAACAACAATCCCGGCGCGCAGCTGCTGGGACCGAGGAGCCTCCGGATGACTACGTGAGCGACATGGAACACTTTCTCAGCACTCCGTCGGCCACTCATGCAGCGCCTACCAGTCCGGACCTCCTTGGGACCGCAGCGGCTCGTCACCCATCGAGCCTGCAGATTGACGGTATGCCGGAGGACGATGCGGCGAGGCAGTTGGGAATGGCGGACCCCGAGATGGCCGAGATGCGCGGTGACGGAGAAGTCGCCGATTTACTCTCTTGCGGATACCCGACATCCGCCTGTAATGTTCAGCAAACTCTTTCGAATCGGTCTCTAAGTGAAGTGACGGCGTGTCTTCAGAGGTGATAATGCAGGGGGAAATGGACCAACAACGCGAATGCGTACGTTGTTTCACTCAGATTGATTCGGGGCTCGTCTCTGTTGACGGACAAGGCGGATGGGAAGAAAGCATTTCTTCAATCGTTGATTGAATCGATCATCGACGGCTGGGCTGCCTGTAAGTAAGGCCTTCTGATGACGCCGAAGCCGGTCTTACGCTGTCCTGCTTTGGCCTACTTGTGTGGTTTGCTTGACAGGTGGTAGCGCCGGCTGGTCGCAGAACCTCAAATCGTACCAGGTGGGTCGTTGATAGTCTCTGCTGTGTGCACAGATGCATCAACTGTTACGTGCTGCCTCTTTGTCAGGCGTCGCTGTGTGACCTTGCAGCGGAGCTTGGAAATGAAGCAGATGAGACCATCAGACATCTAATGCACGGGTGTGTGTCGTACGACATCCCTCCGGACGACTCGAGTGAGGCCAACCACACAACAAGATCGACAGGCGGCTTCCGGCTTTTGCGCCTGATAAAAGTCGTGGACGTACTGCTTGATCTTACCGGCGTCAGCGAAAAAGAGGCGAAGTACCGCGGTTCGCTACTCAGTTTGCAGATTGACGTGCTGGAGACCGCAGCATGGCGTCTGTTCGGGTGGACTAGCGATGATCCGCGAGGCAACCTCGGCGTAGCACCATCCATTCGGCCTGCCAAACTGGCGTCCGCGCTGAGCATTTTGAGTCTCCTGTGCTCTCTGTTGAAGAGGAGTCGTCGTTGCAGCCCCCTCTTCTGCGCTCTCACCATGGCTACCGTCAGCATGCTTGCAGACAGAAGAAGATCCTCCCCTTCCGACGCAACTCTCTGTCAGCGCACCCACCACTTACAAGCCTTGCTGATCGAAGGCCTGGTAGACTATGTCAGCATGCTGGTAGGCAAGTATGGCAGGGAAGCAGGCAGGCAAGCCGACTACACCAACGCAACACCCACGCCTGCCTACACACCCAGCTGGCGTCTTTTACCTGTCCTGTCTGCAGCGCGCTGAGACAGGTGGCGGGGTGGCCGTAGATGCGCTCGTGGACCACATTGTCATGGCGAGCCTCATGTGCGATCCGGATATGGTTGCTGGTGACCTTGCTGACAGTCTATCGTCGTGCCGACTGGAGGGCCAGGCGTTCCCCCTCTCACTCCAGTTCTCCAGGAAAAAAGGCATTCGCCTCCTGGACCCATCGTTCGGAGATCCTTCAGACACACATGGCACAATGCGCAGAGACGGCCGTCAGTCGGAGGTGGATTGGCTCAAGAGGCAGTCCAAGGCGGACAAGCGATTCCTCAATCGGAAGGTGAGTCGGAGGCGAGTCGTCACGAATACCGAGGCACGTTATCCTCGATGATCGTTTCTGTGATACAGATTCGACGGGAGAGGGAGTTTTTGAGCGTTCTCTCGTCGAAGGCAGAGAAGAGGCGGCACAGCCACCTGGCGAAGAGGGAAAGATCAATTCATGCCGATTTGGAGAGGGAGAGAGGAATGGTAACGGCACTCAGGACAAGGGCCGTGGCCTTCAAGGGCGGCAGCGTCCACCAAAAGAAAAAGGGACGCAGTGCGTGAAGGACCCGCGTGCCTGAGAACATGTGTACTGTGAATACATGCGGTGTCCAACCGCTGCAGTGCACGAGTTTAACATCGAGGATGCACGGCATCGGCATATCATTTATCGACGCTTTCACCCACTCTCAGTCTGTGAAACTGTCATTAACCGTGTCTGCATATCTATATCTACACACGCGCATTCACGCATGCTGAATCTGAGTAGATAATGACAGACGCATCGTCTCTCTCCGACAGATAATCAATCTACACAAGCTGCTACCACCCATCCACATTCGCTTCCTTCGGTGTCTTCTTCTCGGCACTCGTCTTCGCCGTTGAAGGTGAGGAAGAGCGCTGCAAACAGAATGCGTGTGCGAGGGGAAATCTCTTTGCCGCGTCTCCCTTCCCCATCCCCCATCCTCACCGATGGGTCTTTCTTGGATACTTCAGTCACATCGATATCGAAGTCGGCAGCGATGTCTTCCTCCTGCTGTGGCGACATCTGCAATAGCGGGCTCAAACGCACGCACACACACACACGCACCTTCATGACATGGCCCATGAATGCATGACAGTCCCTCGCTCACCCATACTGGAAGATTGCCTCCCCGCCTCTCCGCTTGCACTCCCTGCTCCTCTGTGAAGTAGCCCATTCCAAATCCCGTGGCAACGCCCAGCAGTGTCGCAGCCACCAGCACCCACGGGCTCTCTTCGAATGCTGCCAAGGGTAGAGTTGTTGCGGCGCTCTCAGCCACCGCCATCGAAGAACAGGGCTGTCTTGGCCTCAGCAACCTGCTTACTGCCCCTCCGGCCGGGCCTCGGCCTCGAGCAGTGAGAGGGACAGGCACAAATGCGGTGGTGGACGTACCCTCTGCTCTCAACCCGGAAGATCCCGCCAGGAAGACAGCCGTGACTACAGCAAACAGCGCCATTCTACCAACCTCAACTCAAAACTCTACACACCCAGAAAGGTTTCTGGCGATCGCCATCACGGTTTAGGCTTTAGGGCATAAAGTCCGCACGCAACGCATGTCTTGCCGTTTTCTTTGACGTTACGTCATGCGGAGGCGCTACCAGCGAATGAAGGTTTACATGAATCAAGACATGCGTTGGCCGAAATAGTCGGACTCGAGCTACCGTCTTCGAGACCACTGCACACAGGCAGCAAAAGGGCCACCGTCCATCGGCATCATGACGAGTTCACTTCTCACCTGTCGGGCTGCCGGAACGTCACCTTCATCGTCATCCATGTCGTCGTTGTTTTCACCTGCACAGAGACAACGACGACACACAAAAATACATCAACCGGCTCTTGACAATGGGTGCATGTCTGTCTGTCTGTTTGCATGTCTTGCAGGTGCTCATCACCTACTTATGTCGTCCAAGTCCTCCTCGTCCTCATCTCTTCGCCGCTTCTTGTTGTTCCACTCCGACAGCTTCGCCTTGGTTGGTTGTGATTGACCACACAAACCAAACCGACATTCATTCAAACATTAATTGAATACACACGCGACCGATTTCATCCCCGTATCTTCTCCTCTCCTCTCCCTCCTGTGCCCTCTTCCGGCCTGGCTGCCTCTCCGCACAAGCTCACCTGCCGTAGCTTCGGCTTGCTCTTGGCTTTGCCTGATGAACCAACGAAGAGAAAGGCATGAGGGTGGGAACATGCAGGGCATCCGTACGCACGTGTGTGCGTACGTGTTGCACACCTAACCTTTGGCTTTTGCTTTAGTCTTGCCCTTCGCTTTGGCTTTGGCTTTGGTCTTAGGCCGTGCGACGTGCTCACCATCGTCATCATCATCGGCCTCCTGATCGATGTCCATGCCACCCCGCGGGGCCGCTCCGGAACTCGACTGATCATCCGCAGCCGCACCAACCCCCTGATCCATCCATCCATCCATAGACACAATGAGTGACGTGTGCAAGCATGCAAATACATGGTTTGCTGTGTGTGCTGGCTGCGCGGCGTCTGTCGACCTACCTGTTGTTGGTCATTGCCGCCGACTCTGTCTGCCCTGACTTTCTGCGCATGTTGCTTGGCGAGCTGTATGATGTCGTCCCGCACCTTCTGAGCATCGGTGCTGAGCTGAGGCCTAACAAAGAGCAGGAGGAGGACAGGAGATACACACACACAGTCACACATACATAAATAGATACACACCCTTCCGTCTGCAGGCCGGCAGGCAGGTGGGCATTGCTTACTTGATTTGTGATCGCGTTTTGTCGAGCATAATCCCCACGAACTTGTCAATTGCCGAAGTCTCCTGCAGCCAGCGGCACGGCACAGCAGGGACGCGGATGCACGTACGAGCCCACGCAGGCGTCACTCCCTCACTGCCTGCCTGTCTGTCTGTCACTCACCATCTTGAGGACGTAGTCTTGAATGGCGAGATTCAGCTGAGGCTCCGACAGGATATCCAGGAAGCCCTCCTTCTCAATGTATGTGAAGATCTGACAGTCAATTGACGAGCCAGCCAGCCCAGCCAGCGATGGATGCGATGGATGCGCAGACAGAGAAATCAATCATGCAGCCACCCACCCAGCCAGCCAGTCTCCTGGCCCCATGCATTCATTTATTTGTATGTGTTGTGTGTCCTGAATGAATGGGTGGGAAGGCGGCCAGCCAGCCAGCCAGCGTGCGTACTATGTCTTGTATTTCCTTTCCATCGGCATCCTCCGTGTCTTCGATGACCAAGTTGGGGATGGCCTTGTTACGACGAGCACGCACGGTAGACGAAGCCGCGTCCCTGGGCACCAGCACACACAGACACACCGCCAGACAGCCATAGAGTGTCTCCAGTATGCAAACATGCACACTTCCAACCGACGTGGGTGGAGTGCGTTGCGTTGCGTCGCCTCGCCTCGCGTACTGACTTGTTGGCGCGTCGGCTCTTGTGGAAGAGAAGTATGTCGTCAGGATTCGCAACCTTGCCTGTGGGCCCCAGTCCACCCGACCAACACGACAGAATGCATGACATACATATGTAGGTTGATTGGCTGGTTGATCTCATCCGTAGGTAGGTGTACTTTACTTACTGTACAGGCCAGTCCTATCGGTAGGTAGATATCTATCTGAGTGTAAGTCAACAACTCACCGACGAACTGCTGTCCAAATCGCTGATTGCTGATGGTTGGGTACCCAGAGTGCTCCACCTTCAACCTGCAGCCAGCCAGACAGCCAGACAGCCAGACAGCCACATGGAAACACACATCATACACACATGTGACATGCGTCCGTGCGTGTTTGGGTTCAGAGGTGGGCACCGCATGCATGCCTGCCTGCCTACGATGATAGGTGGTTTATGTGTGTACCCACCGTATCAGAGGCAGCATCGGATCACGGGCCTCCCCACCTGCTGGTATGTGCCACGATGATGCGTGGGAGACAACGACCATGCTCAGCTGTCCGCCCGTTTGCGTGTGGGTGCGTACTGAACAGGTGTGTGTGTGTTACCTACCGACCTGGCTCTTCATCTTGATCCTCCTGTTGCCTCTTGTGGGTCCTCTCGATAAGTGCCTCAACCGTCTGACGAATGGACCCACGCACCGCACCAAAGCACCCAAGCACCAAGAAACGAACCGAGCCGTACGCAGGTCACACGTTGGTCGGTTGCTGTTTGGCCTGCCTGCCTGGCTGAGCAGTGCTATGATTCCCTCCTCGTCAGATGGGTCCAATTCACCCTCGTCACTCAGAGACACCTGACCGGTCGGTGCGACACACATGTACAGGCACATGGATACGTACGTACGTACGTACGTACGTAGATATGTGCGCTCATATGTGTGCTAATTATACGTGTGCTTATATGTGTGTGCTTATATGTGTGTGCTTATATGTGTGTGTACATATGTGGGTGGGTGGGTGGGTGTGCGAATGTTGAGGCCTGCCTGCCTGTGTTCCCCTCCCTCTCTTCTTCCCCCTTTCTCTGTGCGTGTCGGTGCGTGTGTGTGGATGTATGTGATGTGATGTGATGTCGCACCTCCTGGAATTCGAATGGCCGGACTGTCTTGAGGCGCTTGGGGACCACACGGAAATTCTCACCGCTGCGCCATGGGTCGATCGACGTGCACACACATTGGTTGGATTGGTGCAGTGTGTGTGGACTCGATGCGTGTACCCTCCACCCAGCCACCCACCTGATTTCTAGTATGGCCACATGTTTGGGTAGGGCTTCTCCTGCGGCCAGGGAGGTGGCGACAGACGAACCAGGCTGGACCACGTGGAAGTGAGACTGGTGGATGGATGGACGGACGGACGCACGGGGGACAGGCAGGCAGGCAGACAGACAGACAAACACGAGGGAAACAGACTAGTTAGTCGTCTGATGGGTGGCGGATGGGCTGACCCTGACTGCCTCACTGACCTGTGCAGAGTCGACAGGATCAATAAGGCAGTCGTGCTCGTGACACTGCACACATGTACGTACGTAGATGCAGGGGGAAGGGAAGGGCTATGCATGGCGGAATTGCAGGACGGGTCCGCTTGATTTGGCAGGCCAGCCAGCTTACCCATATCACGAGATCCAAAAACTGTGGCAATTGGGCTTCGTGAATGCAGTTTTTTGACGTGGATCCGCCCCCATGACCCTTGTACCTGCACCACACAGATTCACCAAGCAAGTGAGCCTCGATACGACGCCATATGGATTCCTCTACTCGATCCCGTGTGTGTCGCTACTGTTTATTGTCCTGTCTATTGTCCGGTTTGTTGTCCTGTCTGTCTGTCTGTATCCTCCCTCTGTCCCCGTGTCTGTGTCTGTGTCTGTGACCTGTTTTGATGGATGACCATGAGGTTGAACCACTCGCTTGCACCAGGCTCCTGGCCATCAGACGACCCATCCACACCTGTGCACCAAGGCGATCGCCATCAAACACACAGTATTGCGTTTTCGATCAGTGTGTGAGTGCATCGGTTATGGGTTGCTCTGACGGCCCAGCCCGCGGCGCCCCTAGGCTGACCCAGCCGTATGGCTCACCCATGTCATTATCGACCGCCACACTCCTCTTCGGCACATGAAACTTGACCTGTGACACACACACACACAGAGTAGATACCATACCACAGAGAGGGGAAATATGGGGGCTCCCTACTGCACTGCCTCCCTCCGTCCGTGCGTCCCTCCCTTCTCCCCTCCCTCCCTCCCTCCTCCCCTACCTGGACATTGCTGAACGCCCGGTGCAGTCGCTCGTCGCGGATGTTGCCCAGCCCGTAGAGAGCCACCTTGGTCTGGCCCTTGCGCAGCAGGACTGGATACACATTGATGTTGTCCAGGTCTTCGCTCTTGCCGAAGTAATTCACCTGACACCCACACAGGCCCCGCACCGCACCCAGACGGGCACGACACACATAGAAAAGGCGTGGCGTGAATGAATGCCACGCACGACAGCCAGCATACATACATACGATACATAGATGGATGGATGGATGGCTCTCTTACAAGTGAGGCCGTGCTGAGAAGGTCGAGTGCTGAAAGGTTGTTGTCGCCCGAAGGATCGTCTGACCGAAGTGACACACCGACCGACCGACCGACCAAGGCGCACACGCAACAAACGACAAACAACAGAACACCATGTTTCTGGATAGACGAGTACATACATACATACATACAGGATATGGACATGTGCAAGATGATAGATTGAGCCGAACCTGCCTGACAGGGCTGGGGGGG